CCCCCCCCCCCCCCCCCCCCCCCCCCCGACGCCAAAGCGAGAAAAAGGTCAATAGGTTCCAAAGCCAGGAATAAAACTCATTCTCTTTAAAACACGAACTATACACTCCTATTATCCAGTCACCAAAGCCCCAGACCGTGGAGGTAGATGCCGTACACTTCAGGCACTTTAACTCCACTCAAATACACCCAAAGCATTTACGACTTGCAGTCTGAACTGACATATTATTATTTCCCTTGTTACTCTGACTGCTAACCACCGAGACCCGACTCATGTTAACAGGGGAGAAATCTTTTAAATTATTTAGTCTGTTCCCTGAGCAGACGGTTCACAAAGACCCAGAGCATATTCTAAACATTTATTCATGACGTATGGAATAAAACAAACATTGTAGATAAAACAAAGTGGGTAAAATTATAACATTTATCTGAGTGAATGTTGTGCCGGGAATCTGGACAAATAACAATGGCAATGATTAAACAGCGTTTGCAACCTGTTAGTCTCATAAGTGCACCATGGGAAGTTGAACAACAACAACAGATTCAATCGAGGCGAAAAAAGACACAAAGGAGAGGAGGTGGAGTGCTTTTAATAACTCAATCATGTTAGCTTGATCCCAAACTGTTCCAGGTTCCATCACGACTGGGGCCTCAAATCACAATATTATTATTGCTTGACAAAGGTAAAGATCTTAACAGTTTGAACGGATAAAAAAAACCTTTTTAGAGGCCTTAACTTAATAAAGTAGGTTTCTCCACTGGAGATTAGACCTCTTATTTTTCGTCTTACTGGATTTGTGCCTAGACATTTAGGGTTTTAATGTGGGCTTCATTTATAGACTTACATTTTGGTCTTGGTTTAGACACAGTGCCCCTCATTGACGTCTTATTTACAAAGAGCTTTATATTTGCAAGTAATGCAGACAGTCTGAGATAAAAAAAAAAAACACCAAAAGATAACAGTGCAAGGAAACCTATGTTTCAAAGTGCCCAAAACAACTAGATCTAGTAGTTTATACAAAACTTTTCTCTGATCATAACACAGAGACCAAAATGATAGAAGTGTTATTTCCTGATCTCAAACAGAGACATTTTTTTTTTTCAAAGGTGAAATCACAAACAGAAATAAAGAGAAAAACTATTTCTCAATGAGACATCATGTTCTTTTTGTCAAGGGTTTGAGAGTGCCAGTCATAATTATTGTGGTAACAGATCATAATCACATCAAGGAAGAAAGTGTTTCCGTATACCTACATGAGGAAGGAAGAATTGGTACACCTGAGAAAAAGAATCCAATGGAGCAGTCACATACACTTTGGAACACACTCCTAACAAACTTGCAGGATTTTGGGGGATGTTTTTTTAAAATTTTTTTTTTACCATAGTTTCATTTTCGAGGCTTCTTGGTGGAACCCTTTTGCTGTTGCTCTCATCTAAGGCCTTTTCTGGACACTACACTGAATATCGATAGCAACATCACAAAAACATTCTAACATAACCAAAGTCCAATAGAATTCATACAAAGGTGATTTGCAATATCAGTTTCCCAATTTCAATATTGTTTGTAAAGCTTTGATCCAATCACAAAATATTTTGGCATTAAGTACACATTTAACTTGTATCTCCATGTAGCTTGCATACAGCTGAAAGCTGCCTCACTGCTTGGAATTGTATTCGTGCTAAAGTTGAAACACACACAAAAAAAGTTCCAAAACCACTTAAGTCTGATTGTAAATGAATCACTTTCCAACCTCCACAATTCAGATCAATAATAATATGGAGGTGGCAGCTTTAAACCTACAGTCATGGTCAACCAGGGAGAAAGGGACACACATCTCCCACCCTAAAGATGGAGGCACTCCACAAAATAGATTTGGCCACTAGGAAATAAGCACCCTGTCTTTTGCGTGCAATGGTAAAAGAGCCCAATCACTATCACAGATGTCAGTATAAGAACTATACCAGAGCGGACGTCGCAACACAGCAATGAAAAGTAGGCTTTAGTTTTAGTAGAGGTTTTACGGCGCTCGCAACAGCATAAGGTCATATGAGCGCCAGAAGATTAGAGGTGTTACAAGAGCGTAACAAGCATAAAAAAGAAGAAGGGGAGACAAGGACGATAGATGTTTGATAGGAAAGAAGAAGCAATTTGATAGGAAAGAAGAAGCAAACCACACCAGACTACCCACCAACCACCCACAAATGGGAGACAAGGACGATAGATGTTTGATAGGAAAGAAGAAGCAAACCACACCAGACTACCCACCAACCACCCACAAATAAGTAGGCTAACAGGACAGAATCAGAAATCTAAATCTGAGCCCATTGAGTCTAAAAAAAAAAGAAAATCGATATCAGTTAATAACAAGTCTACGTTGAAGATATATAATATATTTGAGGACAACAACAATTCTCCATTCACCACATGAACCAATTAGAAATTTTGGCCAAGCAATCGCCAATCATACAAGCATAATTGAAAAATGTAAAGAACAAGTCATTAATACAGCAAGAGTTGAGTCTTTCCCCCATCGTATAATAACGTTAGCTAAGCTCCGCACAACAAGGAAATTGACCAAGCTGTTCAACAGTATAAGAGAGACAATCTCCAAAAGTTTCCATATACATAAGAAACGACACATCCATGCATCCTTAGACAAGACCAAACAAAACAAAACACACAAAAAAACCCACCGAAAAGAAAACATCTCCCCAGACTTACAGCTTACAAAACTCTCAAGTCAGTTACACTGTAAGTCTTTCTTTATCCATGGATTCTTATGTCAACTGACAAACAACAGAAAAGAGTTAGGAAAAAAAAAACCCAAACAAAATCTCACCAACGTCAGAGGTGGCATGCTTCTGGTGTCCATTGATCTCGTGGTCAGCCGGCTGACTAGACAAAGCCAACAGCCTCAGCTTTGCCACTGGATTGGTCTGTTCTTTCACATCACTGTACAAATTTAAATCTCTGTCCATGGAACATTGCAGAACCTAAAAAGAAAAAAAACAAAACAAAATATGATTAAAATACAGTGTCATCAATAGCTTCAAAACTAAACAGTATAGCCATTTTTGTACTGGCACCGGCACCAGTAATGGTCGGGGTCAAAAAGAACAAAAAGAACAGCAAACTACCACCCCCC